GTGGGTTCTGTCACCAGTTTGGATCCATTCCACACAGTCTTGAACTGCTCCGGCACTGGGAACTCCCTCTGTTTAAAAAAAAAAAAAAGGAAAACAAAAACAAAGTAAGTGTAAGAACAGCTGCACACATGGAGAGAATTAGCTTAGTCTTTATCTCGGTTACTCACGTAATCGTCCTCTCCTTCAGGTATCATGATGTTCATCTCAGAGCTCTTGGCACTGACAATGTCACAGCTGACGGAGTCCTTACTCAGGTAGACCTGGCAGCCCTCGGTCTTGTTGATGGAAATGGTGGGAACTGTTCCCAAAACCTGCAGAAAGACATGCCACACTTACTGACAGGCTTTTTTTGGGCACGGTGAGATGTTATTTTACACTTTGGGTGTAAAACTCTGAACATTTTTAAGAAAATGAAAGCGGACCTACGAGACACTCGGTACATCACTTAATTCTGTGTCAAAATAAAAATGTGTTCACCTGTAACTGAATCGATTTGCAGTTAATGATCTCCACGATCCCAACAACGTTCTCAAAAACCACACCCAGCTTCTTACAGTTGTCTAAACGGGATGAGAACAAACCAGATGAAGATAATAATCCCACATTATGAAATCTGTGCTCAAACTCATGATTTTGTTTTCAGGCAGCTTACCAATGATGATGGAGTTTATTTTGCCCTTAATCTGCAGGGTGGAGTTATTACAACTGAAGACGTATGCCACCTGTTTAAGCTCCGTCTCCTCGATCACCAGGTCGTGCTTCTGCTCAAAGTTTTCCTGCAACAATAAGGATTCAAAAATCTAGATTAGCAGCCGGTCTACCAGGACACATGGATTGGGTTTGTTTCTACGATATAAATGAGAGCTGGGTAGGTGCAAATTAAATTGTCATTGAAATTTTCCAAAGTGCCCTTCATTTCATTTCCCGTTGTGGGTTTAATTAAATACAAATGATCCTCAAAATAGGATTTACACATCGCACGTACCACCCTCCATTTCTTCCCCTCCAGCTCCAGCAGAGGGGGTCTTTTCTGGGCAGGTGTAGTGGGTGAAGCCACAGGCCCCGTGTTCTTGCCTTTGGCTGTTGATGGTTGTTGAGAACGCAGATTGGGATTCTTGTGGGACTTCTGGTCATCTGACACATGCTTCAGACCTACAGATGGAAAGTGTGAGGATAACATTATGAGTTTAAAAATATAAGCTTAAATTAAATTAAGGTGGAAACTGTCGCTCAGCTCTTCTGCGTTGCTCGTGGATGCACCTTTAGTGATGTCCATGCCCTGGTTGAGTTGGGCAAATAGCGCGGAGTGCTGAGCTACGGCGGCGTCCGCCTGAGGCTTGGCGTCGTCATCGGTGAACACTGGAGGAGGGCCGGGGGGTGGAGGAGGTGGTGGAGGTGGACAGGGTGCACTTGGGGCTGGGGGGGAATCAAAGAGAGAAGCAGGAGCGATGGGGCCCTGAGAGATGTTGGAAGAAAATAAAATATTTTAAACATAATTCAAGTATATTTACTAAAATATTTTCATTTGACTCAGGCTCTGAATCTGAGGTCTGCCTGCTTATTTCATTTAAAGTGTACTTAAATCGTACAACTCTGCAGTGCTCGCAGATCCTGGTCCTCTGACACTTGATGTGAGTAATGAAAAAAAACACAAAGCAACACAATCACATTTTTATGTGAACTGTTTGAGTTTTAAGAAAGTTAAAACACTTAAATTTAGTAACTTCAATTTAAGCAGATCTCACTCACTTTGCCTTCAGTTCACATGACTTATCCTGTATGTCGGTTGTACTACTTAAGCTAAGTGTTGTGCACGAATATTGAACAAGTTAATCTGAACAAAATCTTTACCTAATTTTTTTTATTTGAATGAATTTGGATACTATTTTAAACTAAAGTAAGCTTTTATAATACAGTGAAACACAGCATCTTTGGTTTGTGAGCTTTCCCTTTAAAATTAAACTAACAAGAACAAAACAACTAAACAAACAAGTTTAAACAATAAAGAAAATGAAGGCAATGCAACAAGAAACAAAACAATAACGACTAAGAAAAAAAAGACAAAACAAACTGATGAAATATGAAAAATGATTAAGATGAATGTCAGCTGTTGTGCTGACACAACCCCAAAGTGACCTGTCTCCTCCCAGGATCAAACAGGAGTTTTTCTACTTGATGGGTGAAAAACAGACAGCTTCACATCAAAATGGCCCAAATTTTACGACTGCACTGTTTCTCAAACGTAACCCCGGGATAGACCGGCCACCTGTCCAGGACGTACACGGCTCTCGGCCTACGACAGCTGGGATAGACCACAGCTTGCCCCTCGCGACCCTGAATTGGATAAGCGTAAGAAGATGGATGCACTGTTGTGCCAGAAAAGAAAAATCAAGATGTTTTTTCCCTCATTTTCCCAAATTTTGTTCATTACAGCTTTTTTATAACATCAGAATTTAAATTATGAAGAAAAAGGTCCTTTAAGTAGCCCTGATGTGTAAGGAAGAGAAGGGCACACACACACACACACACACACAAACACACACACACACACACACACACACACACATCTGCTTTTTGAAGATCTAGCACAGCTGACACAGACAGACCCACACACCTACCACAGGGTTAAATTGTCACCAAACGTGACTCTGAGTGCTCAGACTTGACCTTTGACACGAGTAACATGTGTTGTGAATATCACTGCTGAACAATGTCGACCTGTTACACTAAACAGCTCACTGCATGCCTCTGGATTAGAACCAGCAGATGTGTGCACGCACACATTCATGCATGGCTGTAAAACTATCTACTGAACACTTCTTTGTGTGTGTATTTGTGGGTTTAGGATTTAGGTGGGAAAAAAAGGTGGCTCCTTGTGTTAATATAATTAGCTTCACTTAAAATCTTCTTAATTTCTGCTGTTTTAAACTACAGCTTAAGCAATCAAAAATCTATTAGATAGTTGACATCTATTGTTTCCTGTTTCTGACATGAAGAACTCCTTGCTTGAAGGTTTGAAGGCTTCACCCCGAGATTTATGAAGCAGAGATTACTATTTTTATCGATTTCAAAGATTTTATACAAGAAATAATCAGCTGAAATAAATAAAACAACTGTCAGTTCAACCATTTAAACAGTGATAACTAGAATCATGTTAATTACAAGACCCTGAGGGACAACTGGAACAAATATTTGAAGTGTTAAAAGTGTCATGTTGACTACTCAGAATCTGACTTGCTTTAACGTTTTAAGTTCTTTTGTTTTTTTTACCCTGTGTCTAGTTTAATGTGACCGTTTGCATGGGTCCATATGTCAGCCTGTGGATAGGCCTGTCACTAAAGCGCTGTCTGAGCAGCAGATGACGCGTTGCATCGGTGAAGAGGGACCAGCCCTGCAGTTTAGGTTACGGCACAGGCTGTGTGTGTACACAGGCTCTTTGTTGGGGCAACTTCTGTAAAGAAAACCTCCATTCAAGTAAATCGTGAGGACCACCTGTTGGTACCACACACTCCGGTCCTTGTTTGCGCACACACACTGTGTGTCTCTCGCACATGCAGCAGCTCTGCTGTCCGACAGCAGGGCCAGCCTGTGACACACACAGCCGCTGCAGGCTCTCAAGTTTCTGCATGCAGACAGTACACATGTGAGCACAGTTGTTGAGCATTAGTTTTAGCTGAGCATAGGTTTTCATCGTTTCATGTTGCAATAAAGGAAAAAGTGAACCTTTTGGGGCTTAGTTGATTCCCTGCTGAGAGCAGAAGATCTCTTAACTTAGAGTGCAAACAGAAGGAAGCAGCTGCCCTGAATGTCCAAAGGTACAGTTGTAGTCAAAAGTTTACATCCACTCATCAAGGCTACGAATGATTTCTTTGAACTGTTCTTTTTCCAGTGTCGAATGAGTGTACTGCATACATCTTTAATGACTTTAAAAAATAAGAAAACACACATTAAATCTTTTAACTTTTTTAACTTCACAAGGCCTGCTAACTTCTCATTAGTGATCATGATCGACTACGTTGTAGTTTCTCTTTGCCAGTATAAAAGGATTAGTTTAAAAGCACTCACTGGACTGACCAATACTCAGAACAACGGGAAAGTCCAAGGAACTCAGTGAAGACTAAGAAGGATAATTGTGGATTTAAGCAAGTTTCTTGGAGTCATTTCTAAACAACTGCAGGATTTATCAGTTCAAACAACTGTACTTAAATACAAGTTATTGAAATGTGCCATCACTTTGCCGGTGTCAGGAGGAAGACCGAAACTGTCACCCTCAGATGAGAGGAAACTGGTTAGGAGTCACCAGAAACCACCAAGGCTCAAGTCTGGAAACTGGAATCTGCTGGAAGACCAGCATCACTGTCCACAGTGAAACCAGTTTTTCATTGTCATGGACTGAGAGGGTGCAGACCAAGACAGAAGCCATTGCTACTAAATCGACACAGGCGAGACAAAGATTCTTGAATGGCCTTACCAAAACCCCGACCTCAGCCTGTGTGAACTGCACTTCAAAGCCGGGTCTACGCCAGGAAACCAACTAAATTAAATGAACTCTAACATTATCTTTCTTCCATAAAGTGTGGCCAAATATCCGGCCAGATTTATACCAGAAAATTATTGATGGGTGCCAAAAGCATCCGGTAGAGGTGCAATTTGCTAAGGGACATCTAACCAAATATTAGTGGCCGTGTGTGTATTTACTTGAGCCTTTATGAATTAGATAAAATCTGAAATGAAGGCAAACTTGTGCATCTGGTTCTTGTTTTGTTAAAGGTATTAAATATGCTGTACAATCATTCCACCCTGTAAAAAGGGTGTCCATAATGACTATATCTCCACAGCACCTCTAAAGCTCAATAATGAAAATGGTTTATTTTATTTGAGTTTAAAATTAAACTATGAATGACACTATCCAGGCCAGCTGTTTCACTTTGTTAACATTCTTCATGCTAAGGTCAGATCTCCCGACCATCTCCTGGCAGCAACCTCGTAGTTTGCGTACAAATATGACAGCGGTATTGATCCTCACTGGCGGCTCAGAGCAAGAGTGAACAGGCATCTTTCCCCTCGGATCAACAATTCAGTTAATAAGTAAAGTGAAGCTTTAGTTTTGTTGTTTCTTTCTGTAACCAAATCAAGAGGAAAAACTCTTCTAACCAATAAGGGAAAAAGATTTGGTTTCAGATCACTGTAATCTCTGAGATCTAGCAAAGGTTAGTCCTTGAGTAGACATTAACAGTGTGTGTGTGTGTGAGTGTGTGTGGGACAGAGGTCTTTGAAAGCTTCACAGAGAAATGCGGTGAGCGACCACTGAGGAGAAGCTCATTCATTCATTCATGCTCCCTGCAGTGGTTTATGTAACTGACTGCTCCATAACTAAAAATGGTAGAAGTTATTTTGAGCAGATATAAAACGATCAAGCCGTGCGAACAGAAACCAAACGAAAACACAGCTGACATTATAAAGCACTAGTAACAGGAGTGATTCAGGCTCAGGTATGAGAAGGTGGTGAGTATAACATAAAACAGCACAATATTGTACTAACAAAGGCAAAAAAGCCTTTTGAATCCATCTACTTGGCACCTCGCTTGTGTACTCACACTCTTGCTCCACACCAGACCTGTCGTGTGGTGCTGTTTGATGAACGCCTGCATCTCAGTCCAGATCAACAGGTAGGAGCGCACCCAGTCCACATGACGTCGGTCTCTGGGAGAGACAAACGTATAACGGTCAAATAAAAAATTATATATGAAGGAAGCTGAGGCATGTGGATGAGGACGGACCTGAGCAGGTGAGCGGAGTAAGAAACTCACGATGCAGCGTTTTGCAGGTTAAATTGATACAGAAATGTTTTAACAATTTGGGAAATAAATAAAAAAATCTGCATTCGCCATGCTACCTTTCTAATTTTCATGTACTTTTGCATTCTAGCCTCCCGTTATCTCTCTACCTGATTTGTTTACCACAGTCACTTTCATGGTTTGCATGAATTGTCATTTATGGAATAAATAAATCAGCTGTAATGTTTTAAATATCTAGAAAAGATGAAAAATGAGCTATATTTACGTTTCCTTGTAGTCCTTAAGCACTCTGTTGGTGTAGAAGGTGGCAGCATCGTTCATCTCCTTTACATATGGACCAGGCTTCTGACTCTGAGGTGGGGAGAGATAAAATCTCCTGAAAGCTGTGACATAAACACTTCTCTGAACATCTTAAGTTCAGCACGTTTCATAAGTGGCGTCCTGACAGTAACCTGCACAGACCAGAAGCAGCTTCAAAGACTTGTATTCAAGCACTGGAGATGGTGATCTTTGATCTTAATATAAATGATCTTTGCCTCAAGTCAGAAGAAATGTTTCTACTGATGGAAAACAGAAAAAGTCCATGTTGCAGGAAGAAAAATAAGGTCTTACTTTTAGTTATTTATCTGCATGAAAGATTGTTTATGCAGATGATTGAAAAGTTGGCTTAACTTCATGTTTGCTTTTGTCTGACGGGTTTAAGCTAACATCGGCGTCATTTACCATCAGCTGGTTATTACACACACTCTACTCATAAAGGTCGAATACTTGCTCCTGAGGACCATCGAATTCAAAAAGAGCTAATAGCTTTCTGTTCAGACAGTTGATATGCTTTCTTTCTTGTATTGTGGCTTAAATAGGGTTTATCAGACATGCCAATCTTTACACAGCATCATGTGCACGTTCATGTGTGCTCATCCCTACCACGGCCACCCAGCCCAGTGCGGGGATGCTCTCGCTGACGGCTGAAAGGTGGTTGAAGAGGCTGCTGCCACGGTTTCTTTCTCTGAAGCTCTGAATCTCCTGGATGTGATCTGAAATTGGCTTCAAGAGGTCCTGGAGCTCTGTCTGCAAGAGCAGGAGGGAGAAATTAGGAAGAGGACAGGAGATGGGTGTAAAAGAGAAGGGTCATTATAATCTGAACCCTATAAACATCAAATTCTCTTATTTGTTTAAGAAACACTGATGCCTGTAAAATCTTACTCGCTAGTATATTTTAGCCACCTCCTTAGCCCCTCTTTTAGAATCTGAGCTATATTTCCATGCCCACTTCGGCACCATCCAGCAATTCCTAAACTGGGCTGCAGGAGACGGTCTGATTTGATTAGCCCGGGCCTTTTTTCCACTGGAACATCCAGATCTCAGTTACGGTATAGCTCGTCTCATAGTTCTCAGCTCCCCTCCCCATCGCTCCGAGCCTGAAAACATTCCTCAGTTCATGGGGAGATCCCTGTGGCCTTGTAAGGCATACCGTTTCTCCAATGTTTACAGTTTATCAATTACACATGCACCCGCGCTCACAGAAGTACAGGAACACAGCGTTTCACTGGCAAATAGCTGCTACTTGCTTACATGTTCTGATCTGCTGTGAAATGAGTGTAATGTAGAACATATGGAGCTAATGAGCTGTGACAGGAGGAAGCTGATGAACAATCAGGATGAGCTGGCAGTGATCGGTTAAGCTGCAGCGGTGCTCCTGATATATGCATCACCTCAACGTGAGCAAGAGGTGATGCTTGAAATGAAAATCTATTCATGTGCATCAGGTTTAGTAGTTTTATGTTCGAGAGCAGGAGAGCAACAAAAACAGCACTAAACTTTATTTCCCAACAAATTCTTCCCCTGATCAGACGCACATGATCTTCATAAGCACAGACAGACGCCCCTTTCTCTGCTCCTCCAGCTGCTTTTATATCCTCTAAGTCCACCTAATGGCTGTCTTTGAAGCAATACATCACCTCTTTGCTGCAGCAAATAGGCCGTGCTTAAGAGTGAGCATGTAGGACGAATTTAAGGTAGCAAGCAAAATTCGAGGGGTGAAGTTTGCCTCCCTAAGGCGGAACTTTTTCCATTACCTTTCCCTGTAGTAATTCCTTCCATTACTAATCTGTTATCTCTATTGCCAGTATTTAAAGGTGAACAATTACTCATTTAATACAAATTTATGAGTACTGGAGGATAAATTCAGAGGAAAAACATTTACCCTGCTTAGATCTGAGCTCTTGTTCGGGATGCCTGAGGTACAATAAGTCTGTGATGAGCAGAGTAAAGTATAAGGTGCAGAAAAATCCAACTGTAATGCACCCATATAAGTAAGCAGGATCTTAGGGAGTAAAAAATAACATACACAAAGGTGCTGGGTGCACCTTTGTGTATGTTACGTTTATGTATATGTTCATAAGGACAGCCTCTTTAAGAGTGTTAAAACTGTTGTGTTATATGATCACATATTTAATGATGACCTGTCTGAAGTGTATCACACCCCCAACCCAGTGTCATGGTCCTTGCCATGCAGACGTGCCATTTGCTGTTTTTTGTCCTCTGCCTCTACAGTCACATTTCCCAGTTTTCTGTGTTTGTTTGCATGTGAATGCACTAGTTTTCTGGCCTGTTTTCCACCTTCTGGTTCCTGCACACCTCCCTTTGATGACTTCACTTTGGCCGCTTCAGAAGGAAGTGGCACAGATTCGGTCTTCGTTGGTTCGTTTGCATGCAAACAGTTCGCTCTGAGAATTCCCGGACACAGAGGGGTGAGAAAGAATGACTTGCCGTACACGTTAGTCGTTTACCAGCTGAGGAACTGCAAACTTTTACAAAGCCTGGAGAAGTTACTGCAAAAAAGAGGCGCCTGCACTCCCATCCCAGCTGTGGGAAGGTTCACGTGCTGGCGAGATGTATTAGAGCAGCTAATTGATTCATTTCCACTTTTGTTGTTTACTGCTGAGCTATCAACACACTGACAAAAGAGTTATTGACAAGCTCAGCTGAGTGTGCTGAATCATTATTGCCATCTATCAGATTTTTGAGCTTTTTGCTTCTTTCAGTGCCGAGAACAATCCGGCAAAAAGGATAAAAAACGTCAGCTCACATCATGTGTTTGGCTGAGCTCAGTGCGTTATAACAGCACAGGACTTGACTTCCTACACAAGCGCTGCATCAAAGGCAGAAAGTCGTGTGTGAACTGCCGGGCGCGCGCACACACACACACACACACACACACACACACACACACACACACACACGGTGAGTTAACGGGCCAACCTGAGGTCACATGAGAGAGTGAGAGAGAGTGAGATGCCTACTTTCTCTGACTCTTTCTCTCTTTGTCTAACACTCGATCTAACTGTCGACACACGCACACACACACACACACACACACACACACACACACACATATACACATGCACACCAACAACAGGCTCAAATATAGAACATGCCCATAAAAAGTCAGAGAGCACAACAGAGCTGCGCTGTGGAGGAAGGCCAGCCAGAAGTTTTGGAGATATGTGTGCGCGCATGTGAGTGTGTGTGTGTGTGTATGCGTGTGTATAGAAAAGGGGCGCTGCCCGGAGTTACACACTTTTCTCTATCTGTGCTGAGGGCTACAGATATAGACCTGACTGCGGAAAGCTGTGAGAGATTTCTGAAGAGAGTTTTGTACTCGGGGGAGTATTTTTTTTTTTTGGTGTTTGGTTGTGCACTGAAAGGTTTTTAGGTTATGTTGACTGTGCAAAGGAAACCGTTTCATGCTAAGGTAGAAAGCTTAAATCAGGCCTTATCAATTCAAACTTAAACTGGCATCTTTGACAGTTAAACCAAGGAGGGCACCTTCTATTGAACAATATCTGCTGTTCAACCTGTTTTAAAGGTTATAAACAGAAGTGTCTTTTTATTCCTATTCATCCTGCATGATATGAATGCAGATTAACATCTGAACATTTGAAAACTACGTTACAGTTTTCATGCAAGCTTCAGGTCTTTAGGTTCCAAATTTTACCAGCTTTTCTTGTAAAACCTGAACGCCTGTCTGTAAAAACAGACACCAAAGGTGTGCGGTTTTACCTAACTCAGTTTTAATTTATGTTTCATTGCTCTCGGTTTTAACTGGGTTACAACATGAGGGTGTGAAGTTTTTGCTCATGCTGCACATTCAAAAAGACAATGAAAGAAGCTTTCATTGGCCATTATGTGGTTGGATCAGGGCGTTGGTAGCAGCTCTTGAGCCACCATTTCCCCGTTTTCCGTGTTTTGTTTTGAGTTTCGTTGTGATGCTGAATGTGTCTCTCCTCTCTATCAGCCCACCCCTCTCCTGGGTTAGTCCCCCTCTCTCTCTCACTCTTTCCTTGTTTGCATTTCTGACTATCTCTGAATGCTCGTTTCACAGCCTCTCAACCAATGACCTGACAGATCGGGAGTAATCACTTCCTGGTGGGCTCTGTGGACCCTGTAACACACACACACATACAACACAAGCAGAAGGCCAATGGGATGATATCATTCTCTCACACACAGACACAGACATCTCTCCCACCCCTCTGTTCTCTATACGTGAACATGTTGGGAATGTGTTGTATTAGCATTTTCTTGGTCAAAGAGCAGAGTAATCCCTCTGTGAACAGACGGGCCTGCTGGGAAACACATGGGTCAGACCGTTACAGAGGACTGAGGCCCAGCTCATCTCTCTGTTAGGCTGCTGCTGCAATTTGATGCAATTTGGCCCTTAAAGTCATGAGAGCTGCACCACGCTTCAGCAGGTTTTGTGTGGCTCAGCTGAGAGCTGAAACACAAACAGCCAATCGCAGTCTTGGAATCCAGTCACATGGTAACACTGTTTGCGTCACATTCAGACAGGCTCTAAAGACAATAAAGAGGATACAGTGAAAAAAAATTATGGCAGGGAGGCCATGACTGGTGTTTCCCTAACAACACGATGGCCAATAAACCTGTTATATGTTGCTAAGACAACAACACTGAACTGCTCTGTCATATCAGGTTAGATTTCATGGAGCCATCTTTTTGTGATGTTGAGTGGTACTTGTTGCGATATTATTTAGTTTTGGTTTCTGTTTTGAGTTCCTGGGGTTTTCCTGTTTTTGCCATCCTCTTTCTTTGTCTTCCTGATTTTTTATAGAAATTACTTTTCCTTGTTCATCTTCTTTGTTTTTGTCTTTCCCTGTAATGGTGCCTTGTTTTCTTCTGTCTTCCCTTCTTCCTGATTGTCTAACCTACCTTTTGTATGTGGACAGCTGTCCACCATATATCATTGTCCATTTCATTAGGTACACCTCGCTAGTACGTGGTTGGCCTTCCCTTCAGAGCTGCCTTTTTTCCACCTTGCCTCATGTTATGAGGCAAATGATTAATAATGTAAGTCAATGACCCTCTTAAGGGACAATCCCCACTAAGGTTTAAACACCTGGGACTCTCCAACATTTGGTCTTAGAACTGAAGAAGCTTCTCAGATGAGACATGAAACATCTTAAGCTTAAAGAAGTCCAGTCGCTTTCTTTCCAAGCTCCTTAGACTACCAAGATCTGGATGTCTACAACCTACACAGACATGTTTATATGATGTTCAGTTGGTACTAAGAGGTCCAAAAGTGTGCCGGAAAAATATCCCCCACACCAATACACCACCTGCCGCCTGAACTGTTGATACAAGGCAGGATGGATCCATGCTTTCATGTTCTTTATGCCAAATCCTGACCCTACCATCTGGCTGTCACAACAGAAAATGAGACTCGTCAGACCAGGCTACACTTCTACGGCCCAACGTTTGTGAGCTCGTGTAAATTCTAGCTTCAGTCTCCTGTCCTTAGGTGATTGTCGTGTAAGAGCTTCTCGGAAAAAGGAAAACAAAATCACCTCTGTGGGATTATTTTAGTTTTAAACAAGCTGACAGAGTTAAACCAGACCGGCTGTAGCCTGTAAACGAATAAAAAGGACAGATGCCATATGCTATTAAATAATCAGGATGCATAACCACACTTGTAGTTTTTGTTGTAGTTCATCAAATATTATTTAACAGCTGATCAGACAGAAAACACTGCACTATTGTAGTGTCTTTACCTTACCATATAAAGCACTTTGAGGTGGCTGTTATTATTTTTGTTTTGTTGTTATTTTTGGTGCTTTATAAATAAAATTGTACTGTTTTGTGAAAGATTGAAGTCGGTGACATACGATTATGCATAATATGTCCCGACTCCATAAGCCAGTTCATTTTAGCTCATGTTTTCAGTTGTGTTTTACAAGTTTAATAAGATCTTTATATAAGACAAATTATATTATAATTACCCAGTGCCGATAAAAAAACCCCCAAAACAAAACAACCCCCCAAAAACCATCCCACAGCTTCTGAGGTTACACTGTGACACCCTTTTAATGTCCTCCTGTCGTACCTGCGCTGGTTCCTGGTGTGTGGCAGCCATCTTGATGAAAGCTCTCTGAGTCTGTAAGGCGTTCATCACCATCTCTGCCTGTCAGTCACAAAGTGTAAATGTTAGGACTGATCTCATAATACATTATGTTATACTTGATGAGTGCTTGTCTTCACAGATTGTTCACCATGCAGAGAACATGAACAATCTGAGCAGTCGCTGCAGAAATCTAGGCAAACACTCTAATGACTATGTCTAACTGATATACACACACAAACACACACTCTCACTCGCTTAGTTCGGGTTATTCCCAGCCAACCGTGTCCTCTGTGTGTGTGTGAGAGGTCCATTTGCAGGCCAAGGGAACCACCGGGGAGGCTTTTTCCATAAAAGGAGCTTTACAAACTTGAAGAAACCACCTCTGGCTCTCTCTCTCTCTCTCACACACACACCCTCCACCGTGTTCAGTGATGGGACACAGAGATGGAAACCATCTTTCAAGGCACAGAGGAAATTCAGGCAGTACCTTTACACGTCTGTTTTGGAGGCTTTTTGTTGTTCTGGATTCATTCCAAGGACATAACACAGCTATTATTGCCAACTGGCATACCATAAAACACTTCCTGGTCCTACGGGGAGTAGAGGTCATTACCAAATAGGAAAAGGTCCTCCACTAACAGTTTGATAAATGAATGTAAGGTCAAAGATCAATCATACTCCCATCCTTGGCTTTGTTAAGGACAGGAAACACACACACACAGACATGTTGTCTGCCTTCTTTGGGACCACGGACCTCCCATACAGCTTTGCCTATCTAAGTGGAATCTAGAGTGGGACAATCCTGTGTTTATAAATGTGTGTCCAATGAGATAAAGGTTGGCAGAGAATGAAAATCTGTGGTGGCTCTCCTCTTTTCAGCAGTGCTCCCTTTGCAGAGAGCTCTTCTTCCTTTGCACAGCTTAGTTTATAGATAAATATATCAGGCACAAAATTAGACGCTCATTTACGAACAGTCTGATCTTTTGTTAGAGAAAGCCAAACAACAAACAACAGTCTCACATCTTTATGGCAAAAACCAAATACGTCATCTTAATTATACAGCGTTAAATGTCTTGATGAGTGTCTTGTCTTGCCTTTGTATGGTTGGCTTGAGAAGCAAGCAAGAAACTAAATATGTCCCAAAGTATAAAGCTAACCTTTCAAATGTTATAGTATTTTTTTTGTGAACTTCTTCACAACAAAGCCATGTTAATGAAAAAATAATGTTCTTTAACAAGAGCAAGAGGCTCATTTAAAAAGCCCCGTTGACACTCTGAGGATAAATATATGCTCCTTATAAAGCATGAGCTGAATTCAGTATGAGGTTTAGGGAATGCCCCTTTAAATCATGATCGGTTTGACAAACAGCAGAATGAGAGACCTGCTACATTGTAAGAGAAGACTGCTGCAGCAGCAGCTGCAGAAACATCTGTCTGCAGCAGCTGATGCATGGACAGTGCCTACAAGTGATTTTATATTCGTAGGGTAGCATATGTGAGACTTTAGATTTTAGTGGGTGAAGCCTTACATGCTTCTCCAC